CCCCAAAACCCCAAAACCCCAAAACCCCATAAGGTAGTTCAAGAGTTAATAGATTTATTCATAATTATTGAAAACTAAATTTATTAGATTACGAAATGATCAGCGCATTATACTTTTCGCCCTAGCCTCATCCTTTTTAATACTTCTTAAAGTATTTCCACCAATATATAACTTATTTTCGGGTCTCTTGTATACGATTGAAGGACTTAGATGTATATTTTTCTTCCTAAGTTTGTGGTAATTTATATCAGCAAGGAATGGACTATAATTTGTTACTCTTTAGGGGTCATTTGCAATAGCCATTTCAAATTATGTCATTTATTGAAGACCAAGTTCCTTTGCTCTGCTTTCACTTTTGTCATCTTTCGAGGATTCCTCCTACCTCTTTTTGTTTCGCAATGCCTTAAGATCTTAGAAGAGAAAGTCTATGACGTTATCAATAACTTTTACTTTCTCTTAGTTTTCTAAATCTTTGAATTAAGGATCTATTCTTGATACTTAGAAGTTATTGCCGAAATACTCGTTGTAATTTATTTTCCTTAACTTCTTCATGATCTTATGTTTATCAGCGCATACTTCATCAACATAAAAGGCAGTTTTCCAGCGAGTATTCTTCATAGGTGTACCCCCACGAGTCTTGAAATTGTTCTAAATAAAGTAAGTTAGAGATTCATCGTTTATTAATTCATTTTGAATTATCATAGTTTGATTTTAATTTGCACCTCTATGGCTTGGCCTTGTTTTCTAATTAGATTTATTTATGATATCTTTGATGGCTGGATTTAATCTGCTACCTTTGTTTTAATTCTTGTCCATAAGCTTAACCTTTCTGATTTCTTAATTATGTGAGATTGTAAAAGATTGTTTAAAATCATCATTCTGGTTTTCTGCATTAATAGTGTTAAAATTATTTTAAGCGTGAGTTTTAATTGTTGGAAGTGATATTCTTCTATTTTATTCGATTTAACTCATAGTACTGTAATTATTTCTAGACTCATTATCACGGTTTGATGCTTATCTTTCTTTGTTTTTAACTAGTACTCCCATGATTTTTTATCTTAATTATTCTGAAACATGATCACCACCACAAAGTGTTTTTCTCACACTCTTCTATCCTTCTTAAACGTGTTTCATTTTCTGCATTCTAGCTCTTACACCAGCTGCTAGGTCAATATCTCCATTATTGTTGAAGATTCCTCCTAAAGCATTATTCTATTTTTTATCTTGGAGCACCTCAGCTATAACTACAGTAAACTTATCTCCACACGACACATCTATCACACGCTTATTTTCAAAGAAAGATATAGGACAGACACTCAATCTTTTCTTTCCATCCCCGAATCCCAGACATCCTTCAGCTCCTTAACCCCACCCAAATAATCTACCGTTTCTATCAATACACATTACATGAGATGCTCCACAAGAAACATAAGTTATTTACTTATCTTCAATCATAGGAAAAGGAGAAGAATACTCAATATAATCATCAAATTTAGGCTTTTCGTGTTGACCTTTACCCCACGTAAACAGAGTACCTGCCTTAATTGCAATACAATTGACTGTCTCACCGCATGAGACATTCATCAATTAGTTATCTTCAAAATCATACTCTATTTTCTTAGGCAAAAATTAATTGAGGTTTGAGCGAGTATCCTCATCATAACCTAAACCTAATCTACCTTATCCACCTACTCCCCAAGTGTATACATCTCCTTCATCAGTTACAGCCATTGAGTGATGTAAGCCACATTGCACATCAATAACCTTCTTACCCTCTAAAGTTCTGATCATTTTCGGTTTCAATAAGTCTTTTTCATCTCCTTAACCTAGCCTTCCATGTCTACCAAAGCCCATTGAAAATACCCTACGTTTTTTATCTAGAAATAAGCAATGATCCATTCCCCATGATATGTTTTCAAATTCAATTATATATTCTGTGTTAATTTTCCTGTGGTTTTTGTTATCATCTAAGAATGGCTCTAATTGAATCCCAGGCTCATCATTTTTATCTTTATGCACAACTTCAAATTCAACATTGATAGGCTCTAGCTAATCTCAAACTGCTTAACCAAGTCCAAGTTTACCTCTTGATACTCCACCCCACATCCAAATACGACCATTCTTATCGAATGCTGCAGAATTATAACCTGATGCAACCAATCTAGTAATTTTCTGCTACTTTTTAGGTCCGTTTTTTATCATAACTTGAGTTGCTTTTTGTAAATGAATTAATTTCTGACCTATCCCCAATTGACCTTGAAGTCCTTCTCCAAATGAAAAGACTTCTCCTTTTTTATTTAGTAGCAATGTATGGGATAATCCCGCTTCAGCTTGCAAGAATGTAAATCTATCTTTATTGCTTTCAGCTTGATCTATATACTGCTCTCCTGGTTGCTCAAAATATTCAAATCAATCTCATGTTATAACTTATCTGCAATTTATGTTTATTTACGAAATAATATATAAAGAGTAATTATTACTTACGGAGTTCTGAAACCTTCGCTCCTGATTTCTTCGTCGTTTGATTTTACTTCAAATGGTGATGCAAGTGCCTTTCCAAAATAATAGGCAAGAATTTCCCCATCTGAAGCTGTTGAGCCTCTCCCTTAAGAGTCATTGTCTCTCTTTTTTAGCATTATGTTAAATTATAAAATTTATATTGTTATTGACAAAGTTAATAGAGATGATTATACAAGGAAAAATAATGAGACAATAAATATTATTATTTAAGTGCATTCTCTATAGATCAAACTAAGTTCAATCAATATCCTTGTGATTTCAAGTACTCAGCCATCTTTTCAGTTAGATCATTACAGTCTCCAGCGTTTTGAAGTTGACCGTTTGACATAACTCCACTCTTGTTCCAGATACCGACAACAACAGCAGTGTTTGTTCTAGCAATGCAAGCACCACCACCACCTTCTCTTCCGAGATAGGCAGAGCTGCTCTCTGGGTTGTGCTTAACGAGCATGTATTTTTGGTTGCCCATTCTAATACCTGCCTCTGATCCTTTTCTGTTTCCCTTGGTGGCTTCAAGTGCAGTGGTGAATTCGTTGACATTGACTTTCTTCTAAGATCCATCTTCTTGGGTGAGACCGAACTCGTAAGTGGAGAGTTGGAAACCAGCTGAAAGAGCCCAGGGAGTACCGTCAGTACCGAAGATACCAGCAAGTTCACACACGTTGGTTAGAGTGTACTGCTGAGTCTCAGCATTGTATCTGTTTTGAAGTTGATAGATATAAGCTTCCCAACCTGACATATCACTACTAATATCTTTTAAAATTATTATTTCTCTGAGATGAATGAAATTTATTAGCGAATCTTTTAATATAGAAATTTCCCATTCATTTCTTCAAAGATATAATTCAGGGGTTTTGGGGTTTTGGGGTTTTGGGG